ATGAGCGATCGTCAACTTGCCTAGTCGCCTCATTGACTATTTGTTCACAGAAAACTTGGGCCACCCTAGCCTAATTGTTAAACAGGTCTACTGGTGTTGTTGCTTCTGACATACTACAATATCGCTACAATATATAATGACCTACCTTGGCAGCATATGTTGAAGGCATGAGCCTCTTGCCTTAAAACCGATCACTCTTTGTTGTTTGTACTTAGTTCATTTGCCTATTTTAGCTTTATTTATCAAGGTACATGCCATTAATTTTTTTTGGTAGCTGGTGCTGGTGTTCTGGAGATTTTGTTTTTCAAATAATTTGCACCTAATCAGGCTTTGAAAAATGACTATTAATAATAATTTTTGTAGAGGTAGAAACATGCTAATTTTTCTCACCTTTCAATTTTAGACACAAGAACAAAAGCAGAAGTTTGTGTCTGCATTTAGAGAATTTTCAATAAATAATGGTTGCATCAAAGACTTCCCAATCAAGGTACAGTTACTATACGAGTTAAAAATAATAATTCTCAGATGTGCAGACGGATGAAAGTGTTTTGCTCTGAATCAAGTTTTACATGAGGGCTCTTTGTGAAAAAGTTAACCTGGAAGTGATATATAATTTGGGCTACACTGCTGCTCACAAATTATTGCGTTCGAAGAACGCAAGTCTAATTCTGACCTGTGGCTTTCCAGAGCTGGTTGTCCTGTGCACAGTTACATGCAGAAAAACTCCACATTCCTGTAAGGACACCAAAATGGCCACCCAGCTTGATTTTTGCAGGGGCATGTCACGGCCAGTAAACTGGTAACGTTTAATACTAAGACATGTGATTACATGTGATAAGACATGTGGCAAACATGTGAGCATGTGAGCAAGCCATGCATCTGAGTTGTGCTGGATCTTTCTTTGACATCTTTCCATTCAGTCGCCGTAGGCTATGCTATTTTGTGCCCTCAACGTTGGATTTAGGTGAATTTAAATGCCTCGACAGTGGCATTTATTGAAATCTGATGGAATTGTCCATGTTTACTTTATTTGTTTTAAAATGGACACGACTTTGAAGCGCCTTGGCTTTCCAGATGTTAACTGTGGGAAAAGCTATATTTTGATTGCAGTAGTTGATTATTTTCAGTTGCGACAGGCACGTAGATAGCTCAGTCCTTATCCAGTTGAATATTGTTTGGAATCGGTGGAAAAGTACTCTGAAGGCAAGATCTATAAGAGTGAGCCTGAACCAAGGAATGGCAAATTATGTAAATACTGTCTACCTTATTCATCAGGGGAACATGATACGCGAATTAGTCGAACGGAGTTTGTTTATACTGACGATAAACGAGCACACGAATGTTTGCTTACATTTGTGCTTCCAGTTTAGAATAATGTATGTAAAATTTACTTTTACAAATTAATGTGAGAATATTAAGTACAAAATTTGAAGGCTATAAATGTAAATATTTTCGTTCTATTAACTTGTGTACGGAAACTTCCGCTGTCATGCAACGTGTCAACAAATAGTGGACTTTGACATTATGATAAATTTGTCTGTATAAAAACCTCAGTTGTCGATGAAAAACGTTGATTTTAGCAATAGACAGAGGTTAAAAGTCAGCTAGTGAATTCATTTATATATATTTAATTAAGTGACAGCGTCGAACGCACTCTCATAATCTTTGATTACTACTAGTAATACTTGTAATCTATTTACATGTAAGTTTTGTCTTTTCTTTACAGAGTGATCAGTTGCATGTGCTTGGGTTTGTAGATCACGTCATACAACATTTGAAGGAAAATTTTGTGAATGGTAAGATGAATTTAAAGCTGTGCTGTGTTTAACCATAATGAATAATATTAATTTTGTATATAATCTAACTCAAAATTTTGTTGTATTTAATATTTGTGTTCTGTGCTTGTTTGCCAGCCTTATCCTCTAATCTTTGTCGTCCTGTCACAATGGTAAATGTTGTGATGCACTGCTGATAGTTAATCACATATAATCCAAAGGGATTTTTTGGGTATTCTGTTGTTTCCAAAGTGTGAAAAAATCTTGAAAGGTCTAGGCAGACAATCTTATGTACCTTTGACATTATGTTTTGACATGTTTTTGCTCTGCTACAGGCAAGGTAAGCAAAGCTAAATGCTTAGTCCAAGATGCTGTTGTGTTAGCTCAGAACAGAAGTTTAATCCATCACGTGGGTTCTTCCTCCTATGGTAAGTGCATACATACACCTTATCTACTTACTATTTTGAAAGATAAATGCGTATATATGTCAGTGTTTTGCAAGTTGTCTTCAGGGGTTTTCTGATTCCGAAAAGGGGAGAGGAAAATACAAACCAAGCTTCTTTTCAAAAGTTCCAATGAGCACCCCCATCCTTTCTATATCGGAGTCCCCTTCCTGGGGGGGTGGGGGAAGGAGTATTTGTGCTGTTTTGAACTGGCACTGCCTGAATATTTCCCAAAATATTATAATTATGAAAGCCAGAATCAAAGATTACCCTAGGTGTTTACCACAAGCATGTCTGGAAAAGTGATCAATTTGAGAGTGACTGCCTGGGGGGTCCTATTGCATGGCCTTAAAGCATCATTGTATAATATTAGGTGGAGTTGCAGCAGTAACATCACTGGCATATTCTGAAGGCACATTATAAGTGGGCTCGATGCAACATTGTGTGTTTGGATACCTGCAGTTTACTAATAATTTAGTATACAGCAGGAATTCAACATTATTAATAATTATATTAAAAATAATAATTATTATTTCTAATGTAAGTGACAATTATTTATTTCAGCTAAGGACCCATTCATTCACAAGGACACAAGGTAACCCTAATGCAAAACCTTCTGTGATAAATGCCAAGCAATTGTATCAAAAGTTTGTTGTTAGGGATTCAGATTTTTTCTTTGTCCCACGCCCATGTCATGTTGATCAATTTACCTTTCACATTTCATTACCGAGCTTAAAATTTACCATCTTTATTCAATTATCACTACTCACGATGACTTCAACTGTGCTGATCCTAGCAGTATGCAGGATGCCTGTCATATATGAACTCAGTTAAATGACCTTGCTCCCTATGAGTTCTCATAGCTAAGTGGATAGAGCACCTGCCTGGTGTGCGGGATGTCGTGGGTTCGATTCCTGTTGAGGACTGAGATTTTTTCTTTGTTCCACACTCGTGTCACGTTGATCAATTCACCTTTCATATTCAGGTTATAATTTTTAAATTATTTTTATTAGAGATGTGTTTAGACGGCTCTTTGGAGAACCCTCAGAAAAGGATGCTGCATTAAAGGTAATGTTAGATTTTAAAAAGCAAAAAGCATGTTACATGTACAGTTCTGTTTCTGTCATGTGCAACAATTTTTAATTTTCTTCCAGTGTTCCAGTGAAACTTTCCATTTTTGTACTATCACTTCTCATCATGAAGATATTGGCTCTTTTGTAGTTCTTAATGGAGTTTGGGCAAACATTTTGGCATACACTTCCAACCAAAATTGGGATTTTCCATGATTGTATATGATATAACATTATAAATTATCTTAATTTTACATTTGTAGGCTATGTGTTTGTTTCCACTGTATGTGAAGTTTGGAGGTGCTGTTTGTCGCTATTTAAGGCGTTGGCTAGAAGCAGGAAAACTAGATGAACCTGGTGTTACTTCCTTAACACCTTTGCCAACTCTGCAGAAGGGTAGCTCAGTTTCTTCTAGTTCAGAATCAAAACAAACCACCAGTACAAAAGAGAACAATACTACAGCTGTCTCTCAATCTGTGACCAAAGCTTTGCCGTCCAGTGAGCCCAAACCAACCAAAGGCCCTTCGGTTACGTTGGCTACTATGAACAGAAATGGTGGGTTGGAAATCTTGGGTAGCTCAGACGATGATGACAACGACAATGATGACGATGAGGAGGAGGATAGCTGGGAAACAAAAGTCATCCGTGGAATACAATCTGTGCTCACTGACAGGGCGGGTCCATCTGCCATTGACTACATGGAAGTTTATAAACGGCATAAAGATGGCTCCTACAGGCGACTAAGGGATCAGCTTCATCTTGGCAAGCCACACCCTAATCAAGAATTTGAAGAGAGGTGCAGGAAAAAGGAAGAGGAAGTGATCGAGGGCAATCGGCTCCATGAAGTGATTCTAAAAGACTATGCTGAAAGTGGCAGGAAAAAGCATGCCTGTGCAAACTGTAGGCAGGTTGAGAGATATGCAGGAACATTCAAGAAATGCCAGAGGTAAAAAACCATTTATAGTTTGTATTAACCCTTTGCCTTGAAATTCTTGAAAGTGAAACATTAATATGTGTAGATTGGGTTCAATCTTCAATCCAAGGTAAGGTTTGTCATGCAACAGTGCTAAATATTTCATAAATTTGGGTTTGTGTGTCCAACATTTAAAATAAAAATTATTTTTCTAATAACGTACAGAGCAAGGAAGCATAAAGCATATACTGCAGTACTAGGACTAGAACAAACCACACTTGCAGCCAGCATTAACTTTACCATTAACAGTCTCACTGCAACAAAAAGCAGTGGATACAGTTTACAAAATAATGTTCATGAGTATTTTTCAATGGCAGGCTCAATTCCTTTCGAGGTCTGTTTATGGGAGCTTAAAGTGCTACTATGATGAAAATCGCATCTTTCAAACCTGAGCCATTTTAAGACGTAAACAAGTAGTCTGTACAAGAGTAAAAATGTTGTTTACTGTTTTCAGATATCTCTTTTCGTTCCAGAGATATTCAAGTTTTTCAAATATGCAAATTAACCAAGTAATGACGTCGTACGCTCAACCGAATTTTGATCAAATACGATAAACGAGGATGACTCAGTCAATTTGTATCAGAAATGTTTGATTTTTTAC